GACGACAGACAGGGCGCATTCGTGCGCGAGGGTGGGGGCTGACGCGCCTGCCCTTTGACTGTGTTGAAGAAGAGAGAGAGAGAGAGAGAGAGAGAGAGAGAGAGAGAGAGAGAAGTTGCACTTGTTGCACACTTGTTCATGTACAGTCCGAGCCCATCACACCCGTGTCGGGGGCAGCTCCTGGAGCGGATGGGGCTGCTCGGACGAGAAGGTCGCAGGAACTGCCTGCATCCTCTGCCCTGAACAAAGCAAAGACTGCTGCAGAAGAAAAGAGAAAGAGCGGGAGAGAGAGGGAAAGCTTGGGGAAGCGCAGTGGGGGGAGATTACCGAATCTGCGCTTTCGCACCGGGTCGGGCCTTTCCCATCTCCCAAGTTTCTGAGCTTAGATGGCATTAGCCCATTTCTTCTCCTGCCGTGGAAACAGAGGTCAAAACGTTCTCGCGCGAGGCAGGCTCCAGCACAGGGTGCTGAACTTTCGTTCGACAACTTTTTGCAAACTCTGGAACTGAAGAGACAGTTGCAAGGCTCAGGGCTTGATCTTCGGTTAAGCTCAGGACCACTGAGTGGCTTCATGAAGTAGGGCTCACAGGTAGCAGGAGCATTGGACATGCAAGGCTGTCCTCTTCACTCTGAGGGTGTATGTGCAGTGCAAGCTTCTCAGAAACCACCACACACGGACGGCCTACCTTGCCTTTGTACTGTACATGCGTTTCTCGCTCCTGTGCCAGGACTGGCATCTTGACTCGCATGAGTTTGCCTGCGGCATTCCTCCGCTGACTTCGCTAGGTTCGAAGGTTGTTTTCATGAAGATTACACAGGGAGTTCCCATTGTTCGCCTGTTCTGTCGCGAAATGTTCGCAGGTTTCGTTGGTACTCCTATCCTTCCCACCACTCCCCTCAGCGAGAAGTGTCAGAACAGAATGCTGCTGCCATCCCAACCACTCCATCCACGGCAGTTTCACCAGTCATCGGAAGAGCATCTGTCGAGCCAAGGCACACCTCTTTGCAGCGGCTCTCGCTGGAAGAAGCCTCCGGGATGAAGCTCCCCGGCGCCAGATGCGCCAAGAGCAAAACAGTCGGCAAGTTGTGTCGGTTATCTACAATTACGGACATGGCATAAGTTACGGCATACACGGCATAAGTACATAACTACATACATTTATATCTTGGCCACCTGTCCGGGGCCCTGAGCCGCAAGGCTTTTGTGCGGAGACGGCTCGTTCATGCCTGTGCCAAGGCTGACGGTCACTCAGGGGGTCGCACAAGTGGCGGCCGATATGTTGCAACAGGCCATCTACTGCTCCCTGGAGTTATTCAGCTCCGAGCAACTAACAACTTTGCCGTGCACTTAAGCCTTTCGCGATGTCAATGCTTGCTTCGTTTCGAGCCGAGCGTGTTGTATGCAGTCAGGGATGTGCGTCGACACGCTCGTTGCCCAGAAAAAATCCTGCAAGCACCAAGCCATAGTCCAACTTCGAGGCTTTTCTCTCTGGGTTGGCTTAGTTTGGGTCAACGTCGACTCCTCAGCTGCGGAGATGACTTCCTTCCTGCTACTTGGACAATTACGAGGGCTTTCACTTTGCCACACTGACACACCTACTTAGTTGCACGCCTGCCTGCGTGCATGCGCAGCATTGCATGTATACATCGGTTCGTCCGCTGTAGCAGTATACATACGCACATGGATACTCCCCCCCCCCCCCCCCCCTNNCCCCCCCCCCCCCCACACACATACACCTGCGGGACCGTGTATGCGCCCCTCGTGGATGGTTTCGGTGCTGCTGTGTCAAAGCAGGGGCAAGGGGCAAGTAGGGAAAGGATGTCCGCCCTGTCTTCAACTCCATTGAAGAATTCGATCGGGCTTTTTGGCGCCGAGGGTCTAATTAGCATGGAGTTGAGTCTTTCTGCATCATGCAAAGCTTCTGCAAAGCAAGAGCTGAGGCTGCTCGTGAGCAAGCTGGGCCACCAAGTGACTTGCCTTTCAGGATGTCAATGTGCGTTGAAAGCTGCAGTGCCTCTTTGTCAGCAAGAGACTCGATTCCCGCAGTGTTTCTTTCGACCAGAGAGTCGGGGAAGTAGACGTCTGGCGTTCAACACAAACTTCCGCTTCTTATTGGAGGTCCCCCTCCTTTGCTCTTTCTCGCAGGTCAATAGCTTCAAGGCCCAGGTCGAGGACTTTCGTTTCCCATGCTGTGGCAGCTGTGCAGGTTTGTGTACTTCTCTGGGATCTTCTCTGCGTCACTGAGGGCTGTCCATTTACAATCTGCAGCTCCTTTAGATCGCACAGAGATGCAGCACGCTTCATTGCCTTCAGTACAGATGTAATCCAAACTTCAAGGGTTCGGCAGGACTTGTTCAATCGTTCCGACAACTTAGCCGAGCACTTCGAGTTCTTGGACCAGCAGCCCAAGATTTTCCCAGGCCTGGCTTCAATGCAGGGATTCGTTTGAGAGGGGCGGCAGAGGCTTCGGGATTCGTGTTGGCAGAGTCGTGCTTTTTGTTTTGATTTGTGTGTGGGCCTGTGATTGGATGTATTGAATTGGCGACGCGCAAGAGTTTGCCGGCTTGCTCAGGCACTTATGATGGCCCAGTGAGCGGGGAAGTGAAATTCGAGGACACGGAGCTAAGCGTGATGCACAGAGAAGGAAGGCAGAGCTTGCCTTGGACGCCATGAACACACCCCGACACCGCGTTGGCTGGAGCCCCTAGGGCCCCAGGGCTTGTCATGGGAGTTGAGCCTTTGGGCTGCAAAGGGCACGATGCCTACTGGATTCGGAGCTGTCCTATCCAGCGGTCTCAGCAAGCCAGCCAGTCGTGTTTCCTGCCTTTACCGGGCGTTTGCGTTTGCCGTCCAGGACGTTTCCTTTGCTTATCCCACGCGCCCAGAGCAGATGCTCGGCCTTGCTTCGCAGAAACCAGAATGGTAACATGGGACGCGGGGCTGCGACACCTAGCGAATTCGGGAGGGGGAGGAGAAGGAAGGAGACGCGTGCCATCAGCCCCGTGTCGCAACATGTTTCCCCAAAGCCCGGATAAGGAAAGTGCTCCATAAGCTCTCCATGGAGCTGCAACCTGGAAAGACCACGGCCCTGGTTGGCGCCTCCGGATCGGGCAAGAGTACCACCGTGACACCTGGCAGGATCTCCGGGTCTTCTATACAGTATATACAGTAAAGTGCGCAATGCTACACTCAGGAAGGGCACACCCTTCTTTGGAGAATTTGCAGTTTTCTGTGGACTTTGGCGTTAAAGAATTCACCTCTTACAGTCGGCTTGCATGGAGGTCTTTGTGATCTCAGGCAGCTTATCTTCCGGTACTACGATCCCCTGGCTGGTGCTATTCTTATCGATGGAGTTCCAATGAAGGACTGGGACCTGACCCACCTTCACCGGCACATGGTGCCTAGGCTGCCAGAGACTTCTGGAGGCTCCGAGTCCGTCCCGGTCAAGTCTCAGGGAGGGTCTGGGAGTCTGGGGGGCTTTAAGTGCTTGCGCGAAGCACAACCGCTCGGCTGGCCTCAAGCGCCTCCCTGGCTTTTCTGAGGCGCTCGTTGCACAGGAGCCCGTGCTCTTCAACACCTCCGTGCGGCAAAATTTGCTGTGCCTCGTCTTTGCGGCGCAAGGCACAACGCTTCGAGCTTCGGAGCAGCTTTCATTGGTGCCAACAGCTTGCCTACTTTTTCTCGATCTGGGTCTTTGGCATTTCTTGGGCGAAAAAATGTCCATGAGCGGCACCGCCGGTCCCTCACTTGCTGGTGGGAAGTGCTGGAAGATTCTGCAAAGCTGTCGTCTCAGCAAGGTATGGCTTGCCGCAGTGCCGCATCGATTCGGATCCCAAGGACTTGTTGGGTTTCGGCAATGCATGAGCCTCTGCCTTCAGCCTGCTCTAATTCTTCTGGTTGGCAGGGGAAGGAGCCAGGCTGTAGGCTTGAGGATGTAGACAGCTGTCAGATCTCTAGCAACTCCACCTACATGTTGCTGTCGGGAGCCCCGAGCCATCGACAGTTCCAACCTCCTAGCAGTTCGTTCCAATGAGGATTTCGAGGATCAAGTCATCGAAGCTGCGAAAGCAGCTTGTGCACACGACCTTCGGCTATTGGAACTGTTCATGCTGCAGGGTTTTTTTCCTAGTAAGTTCTTCGTACTCCGCAGTTCGGTGGGTTTCGAGGCTTCAGGCATCGCAGTGCAAGTCCCTTTCCTCCTTTTATGCCTGTCGAAGCATCAGCGGCGACTTTACAGCTCCGCCATGCCCAGCCATGCACCCACGAGCTTGATCTGAACGTTTCTCACTGGTCTTTCTTGGGGAGAGAGGCGACGATTCCTGGCTCGTTGCCGTCGCGGTGAGCCAGACTTGTCGTTTCTGTTTAACCCCGTACTCTAAGGAGACTCAGGGCCAGCAGAACCGAATGTCTCACTGAAAGTTGATGATGAAAGTCTTCACGACCTATGCGCCGCGACGCCGACGGCATAGACTTAGGAGGTTTGGTGGTGGCCTCCAGCCAATCATGACGAGCAGTGGACCCAAGAAGCAGAACCCAGTAGCCGCGATCGCCAGCCAAGGGCAGTAATGATGCACAAGGGACCGCTCTCGGTTCCAAGAAGCCCCATGTCCCTTCTCTCTTGAGCCGGTGCCGATCGAGGACTTCATCATGGGTTTTCCGGGTGGTTACGACACGAACGTCGGCGATCGGGGTGGCCAGGTGGGAAGAGATACGTTTCTGTGTCAGTGACAATAGATTCCGAAAGTGCCAGTCCATTCCAAGCATGCTCCACAAGAGGTGTCGGGCGGGCAGAAGCAACGCCTCTCTGTCGCCCGCGCCATCCTCTTGAAGCCAAGGACCGCTGCAAGTACGAGCATCAAGAGTTCGAAGGAAGTTTTGGCTGTAAATGGTCATGTAGCTTTGTCATTGTCGGTGTGCTGCGATCACTCATTGTAAAGTTTCCTTGTTTGTTCGCTCGTCTTCCGCAACGTTTGTGGCATTTCACCAGGCATCTTGGTGCTCTAGTGCAGCAAGTTTCCCCGCACTTTTTGAAGGATCCTGGTGCTGGACGAGGCCACAAGCGCCCTGGACGCCGAAAGCGAGTCCATCGTCCAAGAGGCCGGAACTGGTTTGGGTGACGGTAGTGGGTGGCCGTAGCGTGACCTGGACGGTAGAGTGGCCAAGAAGAGGAGTGCAGGGGTCGGACTTTAAATGATCTTGTTGGGGGACCCTGTAGTCCGCAAGGTTCATGAGGCCACGTCGGAAATCTCTGTTGCCAAACTGCATGCCCCTGCCCTGCCCCTGCCCTGTTCGTGCCCTTGCCTTTGCCCTGCCCTGCCCTGCCCTTCGGGGGCCACTGCTACATTGGTCGTGGGCATTCACAGACCTCGCTTCCATGCGTTGAACCCGAAGCTGCTTCACCCGTATGGGGTGCAGTGCAGGCTCTCGACCGACTTGTGGCAAGTAGCGGAAGCAGTGTGATGGCGCCTTGGTTGAGTCAAATGGGGGGCAGGTATGTTCCATGATCAGTGGTTGCAGACAGTGCAACACGCTTCGCGTGCTCAGCCATAAGCGCTGGTGTCTGGAGCTTGGCTGAAGGGATTCAGGGCTTAGTGCATTGCAGTCCCTGCTCAAAAAAGGTATGTTCCATGCTTTCTCTGTACCGTAGCGAGCGACTTGCTGAGTTCTGAAAGTTGACAGGGTCGACTTTATCAGTGGCAGGAGTAAGTGGCGGAACCAGCTAAAGAACCCAAAAGCAATGAGAGTCCCTGCATGCACCTTTCAGTGTTGCTTAGACTCAGACCTTGATTCAGAAGAGACTCGCTTGCACATTCACGTCAGAGCGAAGGCGGAGGGTTCACCGAAAATGCGATCACACGTATAACAGAGACGAAGTTGAAGGCCCGGAGCCCAGAGACAAGTCAAAAGCATCAAAGATTTCAGGTCATCGCCCATCGCCTGTCCACCGTTCGCAATGCTGCAGCTTTGGCTGGTTCAGAAAAGGGTCTCAGTTGACGCGCCGTCAAGCAGGGGTGTTGCTGATGTGACAAACTCTCTTGGGGCTCGGGCAGGTCTGGCGCCAGGGGTTGCAATAGCTGCAATCCCCTCTAACAAGCTGTGCATGCTCGTGTGTGCTTTGAGTGGGCTTCGAAGTATGATGAGCATAAGCCGACCATGATAAAGCCCGGACTCCAGAGCTCTTAGGCCTCGTGTTGAACCAGGGCCAATGACAAGCCTGCAGTGAGCCCACCTGGTGCTGAAAAGGAATGTGGGACGAAATTGGTCCTGTGCTTCAGCTAAAAGCACCAAGCCTCAGCATGGCAGAAGCCAGCAGGTCCCGTAACAAGCATTCCATGCAGTCCAGCCTGTCGGTGCTTGTGCGCGAGGATGAGATCATCTGCCTGCGAGAAGGTCACCGAAATCGCAATCAGTCGGTGTTTTCTTTTGCCAGCTGAGGAGTCTGTTGGTCTTTGGAGACAAGGAGTTGGGCATGGGCATAGGCGGTTGGGAGACTGAGGGTATCGGGCTCCTCGCGCAGCCAAGGCCACGTTGTAGAGCGCGGATCCTCGAAGGAGCTCATGGAGCTGAGAGGCCCAAGGAGGGTGTGGGCGGGTTCTGAGATGTGGGGCATGGTTCGCCTGCTATTGTACCCTGCCTTGTATGTGCTCATCACATCTCGGATTGTAGACTGGGGCGGGGCAGTTGGGCGCATGTCCGGGCTGCGCAGCTTTTCAGAGTCCGAAACTATGATCAATAACTAGGAGCATGAAGGCAGCTTGCTTCTTGTTGAATGCGATGCCCGCACAAAACAATGCATAGTTGCGGCCCTCGTGGTCAAGTGCGACAGAGAATACCTAGGCGATCCTGAGCATACCCGGATTGCAAGGCTACTACTACACACTTGTGGAGAAGCAAGCTGCGGCTTGGCCATGGTCGTAGAGTGCAGGTTTCGAGGACGGAGGAGTTGCGGTGGAAGCGGTACAGTTTGCGAGCTGCAATGGTAGTTAGCGGTACGGTTGCGTGTACATCTTCGGTGCCTGATTTCGCTTGCAGTGGCATGCGAGGCTTCGAGTGTCAAGAAATGAGTCAGAAAACGCTGGCACGGCTTACACATGAATTTAGCGCTGCACGCCGAAGGGTATTTGTGCGGCAGTTGGAACATATAATGAGATCAACCAACCATAAGTACGTCCAGGAACACTTGCCAGAACGACAACCGCCCAGCCAGCAGGTGACCTTGGATGATATCGGTGGCGCCAATGCGGAGATAGATCGTTGTTTGAAATCCAGAAGCAAAGTTATGGATTCAGAGGCTAATGTACAGGAAAGCACGGCCACGGAGAAATCGTCCTGAGAGCAAAAAAAACATGAAAACTAACAGTGACAGAAACGAGAAGTCAGCTCGGTTTCTTGCCACAGCGATTCGAGAGCAAAACCATGAGACCGACCCTTCAGTGCAGTTCTGGTAGAACTTTTCGGAATAGGCTTTAACAGGTTCGCAAGCCTTGGTCCCCTCGTCGAAACCAAAAGCGTGAAGTACGGAGACTCTCCTTTGTCCTTCCCTGGAACCATTTGCTGCCACGCAAGCTCCGAGTTCAGTGCATTGTCTGACTATTACGGAAAGCCTCTGGTTGACCAGCACTGTCCTCGCACTGTGCTGCTTTTCGGCTGCCGGAAGATCTTGTTTTTTGTCGAATATAGCCATGGCCGCTCCGATATGCTCCTCGGCGGTAGTGGTGTCGCTCCGCACAACATAGTACTGGGTAGCAAGACTTCGCATCAGATCTGCGCCTGGGCATGTGGCGCACTTGGAGTTCGGTGGGTGCCGCGGGTCAAGCTTGTAACGTCTTCCCTGCACTTGCTGCTCTTGTCGTGTCGTGCCCTGCAGCCCAGGGGCCGCAAGCATTTTGCTGCTTGCAGACGCGATCCGCCAGAATGTCGACAAGGAGCTGGCCCCGTCGCATGGCCCTTTTTTGGCTGGGGAGTTGCATCTCGGTACAGCTTGGTTTGCCAAAGCGATGGCAGGAACGGTGTGTCGTTGAGTTTGCTTCCACAGAGACGGAGAACTTTCGTCTAAGCAGGGGCGGACATGTGAAAGCATCACTCGGCGAGCACATTAGGGGGAAGGCTGTGCGTTCTTCTCTTATCCCCCGTTCCTGCGGCTTTCGTTGATCATCTTGTCTTCCCTTATTCCAAGCAGGAGCTCATGGCGCCATGGACGGTGCACCGGTCCTTTGGCAGCTTCGCATCCGAGTTCCTCCGTGGGAGCTTCGGTTGCAGTGGGCCCTAGGCCTGAAGGGTGCCAAAGGAGAAGCTGCGCGCTCCCTCTTCTTTTCAGGAACCGCGGAGGGAGCGAATCTGAGCTCGACCCTGAACGGCTCGCCATGCATCTCTGCAGACCTTGCAATTTTCATCTTTCAATTTTGGGTCCTAAGGCAAGGACTTCTGATCGAGCTGTGCAGTTGATGTCGCTTGAAACTTGTAAGGTATCGTCGGGGACCTGCCATCCGTCAGCCGGACTTAAGCAATCTGAGCGCTGCATGCCGTCGGCAGCTGGGAGGTCGGGACCAAGCCACCGTAGAAGCGCGGAGAACCGACGTGGCAGGGGTTAGTCCGAGTCCGAAGCCTCTACGCATCAAGACTTCTCCAGGTCTCGTCCGGGACCTTAGGAAGAAATGCGCTGAGACGCAGGACGAAGCGGCGGAAAAGGACCTTTCGCGTTAGTACTGATATGTTTTCTTTGCACTTGCGGGCTTTCCCACTTGCTCTCCGGCTTGCAACCTGGGTCCAAGTGTGACTCTATGCCTACGCTTGGAGCCTAGAGGCCTAGATTCCCAAAACGAGGACACCAGCGAAAGCTCCTTACAATCGTTCGTACTGCGCTCAGCTTCATGGAGCCCAACGCAGTCTACGACACAGAGCGGATGCCCATCCCAGCCCCCAAACAGACCAAGGAGGGTACTTTCAGCTGTGAAACCAGTACGTGGGACCTCTTCACCTGGGGCGAGGCCCTTGGGCTGGTGCCCAGCGTTCGGGGATTGGGACTTCGCAGGAAGCACCGAGAGGCACCTTGAAGTTTTTTGATCAGAGCTTGCGAGAGCCTTCTTGCCTTTGAAGTGTCCCAGTGCCAGGCCCTGGCGGAGGCCTTGAGCGTCTCAAGCCCGGAGCTCGAGGCCTTGCGGGGAAGCGACGTCCCTGTCGAGGCAGAGAAGGCCCTGGAGAGGCCCGTTTGGGTAGGGCACCGCTTAGGGATTGAGGGAACATGATGGAACATGCTCTTGGCCGTGCAGGTTGGCTTCGTGGTTCCAGCCGCTCGCCAATGCGCCCAGGGACGCGCTGCTTTGGGCGGGCTTCTGGGACGGAGAGCCAACGGGCCGTGCCAGTAAGACCGCCCTGTTGAAGTTCGCTGACTTGATGGAAAGACAGACGCTTCATCCGAGCACCCCGCTCGGGAGCCTCATCAGTAAGTGGGAAGATCTGAATCACTGCTACGACACCTCCGATGGAAGGGATCTCACGAAGAACTTCTGGAGCTTTGCCAGCCTCTCCTTCGTCGCCGGGTTAGCACTCGTCCGGCAGCAAGGGGTCCTGTCCTTGGTCAACAAAGATATGCCACTCTTATCCTTCTTGAGCAACGATTGTTGTCTTTTTTGCAAGCTGTTCCTGGAATGCGGGAACCCATGTGGTCTTGAACCAAGGCGAGGCCCACGCAACCTAGGCGAGTCAGTGCTTGCGAAACACGAAATCCCCAGCATCGGCCTCGCGATCATCGAAGCCGACTGGGCGCCTCATGTAGTGCTCGTGGATCTGAAGGGTGCCTGCAATGTGACCAGCAGCTTCCTGCAATCGCAGCTGCTGCCATCACGGCACTTTCTGGTTGACCTGGATTCCTTGGACTCCATTCGACTCCTCAAGCCGTTCAAGAGGATGCGCTGGACTTGCGTCGACTGTACAGAGGCCTCCGGCTGCAGCCTTGACGAACGACTTGCGACCTTCATCCAGAAGGAGCTGCGGTCGAAGCCAGACGGGATCTGACAGCGTGAATGCCTGCAGCCCACATACGTGCGAACACTGAAGGTTGTCCGTGGTGCAATGCATGACCAAAGCAGACCACATGCTGCCCTGCACACAAGAACAAAAACACTCACGACACAACCAGCTGGGTCAGGGTGGAATCGTGATGCTGCAACATAACATGCTATTACAACACTGTCGACAGTGGAAGGGCGTGCGCTGGAGCTTGCAGGGCAGCTCTTCACGCTTCTTCTTCTTCGTAAATCGCGAATCGGGAACGGAGAGGCTATGCAGATTTCTTGAACTCAGACGGAGTGCAACCCACTGAGGATGCCAGGAAGCCCAGACTGCTAACGCGATGGCGAAGAAAACCTTTGGTCCGAGCATGGGTCTTTCCACCAAATGGCAAGCCACGGATACTAGATTGAGTCTACATGCATTTTTCTCTTCTATGCAGGCCTATACAAGCCTCGAAGCTGTCCTCGGTGCATATGCAACTAGCATCTTGAGCCTTTCTGCATTGCAGAATGAACTGTAGATGAATTGCCGGTGCAAACGTTTCGGTTCCGAGACGGAACCACAAGCTGCTTGGAATCACGGTGCGGCCCGGGATTCTTGTTGGCAGATGAAATTGCTCGTTTGGAAGTTCGGGTTTAGGATGACTTCCGGGCAGGTGTCCCAGCTCGGGGTTCAAAAGGGTCTAGGGCCAATCACCGACCGTGATGTACGTGGTTTGAAACGTTCATTAAAAAGCCCGACGAGCTTCGGGGATAGATGCTCATCCTCACGATGTAGGTTCTTTGGCTTTAGCAGTTTTGAAGTGCTTTGCAGAAGCTTGCCTCGTCCATGCAGCAAACTTGTCGGCCTCACACCGCAAGCTTCACTTACTACTCCGCACCGGCAGTCGGCAATGGCGCGGTGGTGGCTTGCGTTGGCATTTGCTGGGGTTGCTGCTGGAGATGATGACGCCTTCCCCTCAGTACATGCGCTGATTGGGCGCGTAGTTGGCCAAGATGCCGGCCAGAAGTTCAGGTTGGAGGAGTTGACTGCGGACTCGGAGGGTCGAGAGCAGATGTCTTTGCGAAGCGATGGGAAGCAGGTGGTTGTGGGTGGGACGAGTCCCATTGCAGCTGCGTCGGCCTTCAATTGGTATTTGAACGAGTTTCTGAACACAACATACGACTGGTCGACGTATCAAGTCATCCTTCCAGAGACCTTCCCGTTGCCAGCGACAGTCAGAAAGCCTCGGCTTGTTGAGTGGTCTTACCATTTGAACGTGTGTACCTATGGCTATAGCTTGGCCTTTGTGGATTGGGAGTACTGGCAGAAGCACATCGACTGGATGGCGATGCAAGGCATCAATCTTCCCTTGGCATTTATCGGCCAGGAACGCGTACTTCAACTGGCTTTTGCACGTTTCAACATCACTTTTGAGGAGCTCCAACACTTCATTTCCGGACCAGCCTTCTTGCCGTGGTTCCGGATGGGGAACTTACAAGCTTGGGGTGGTCCGATTTCAGAGGCGTGGATCGAGGATCGAGTCCAGTTGCAGACACAAATCCTTGGCCGAATGAGGGAGTTGGGTATGAAGGCCGCTTTGCCTGCCTTTGCCGGATTCGTCCCACCAGTCTTCGCCACCAAGTTCCCCAGGGCAAACCTGACACACTCGGCGGACTGGAACCGCTTCCCCGACCCGTACGGAAGCGTTTCCTTGCTGGAACCTACAGACCCACTATTCAAGCAGATTGGGCAGGCCTGGATTGAGGAACAGACGAAGTTGTATGGTACCGACCACATCTACCAAACACACACCTACAACGAATGAACCCCATCTCACCTATCTAGCCTCCTCCTCCAAGGCTGTGATTGACGCGATGGAGGCAGCAGACAAAGACGCGGTGTGGCTGATGCAAGGCTTGGGATCAAACGGGGTTTACCCGAAACTTTCCATCAACCAGCCAAAACCGAAAGGAGTTCTTTGTGGTTAGCGAGGTTCGGTCAAGGGCTGAGCAACACAACTAGCCAGACAACCCAAAGCAAACCCGTCAAGGCTGGCTGTTCCTCTCCAGTTTTTGGTCCACCGATCGCATCAAGGCCTACCTGAGCGGAGTGGCAAACGAGAAAATGATCATCTTGGACTTGGCTACACCTGCCAACCCGATTTGGTCCAAGACGAGCTCTTACTATGGGAAGCCGTTTGTGTTCAACACATTACAGAACTTCGGTGGTCAGCAAGGTGTTACGGGAAATCTGCCGAAGATCGGAGATGGATTCAAGAAAGCCTTAGCCGAATCATCGATGACTGGGGTTGGAATCACCATGGAAGGGATGTGGACGAACTATATCACTTACGACTTCACCCTACTGCAAGCCTGGGGTCGGGCCGATGACCCTGAAGACTTTGCTAAGACATTTGGAGCTCGGAGGTATGGAGCGGCGGCCTCCGAAATCGGAGCGAAGCTGTGGACGGATCTCTACCACTTGGCCTACACAGCCGGTGGCGAGCCTAGGTCTGGCTCACTGGCAAGGCGCCCCTCCCTGACCCCAAAAGAGGAGTTCGAGCCCACGATGCGAATGCTGAGAACCCTTACAACCGTTTCAGGCACCCCAGGCACCCGGTCCTTCCGTTTCGGCTCCTTGTGGTCCAAGATGTTATCGATGCTTGCGCCCACGGCGGCGTCTTCGAAGGCTTTCCGTTTTGATTTAGTCGATGTCGGCCGTGAGGTGCTCTCGGAAGCTTTCGACCGAGAGCTTGCAAAGCTTAAGGATGCTTCAGCTGCGAAGGATGCTGGGATGGCCACTGCGGCACAGCAAACCATCCTTGCGATTTTGGATGACTTGGATGCCTTGCTGTCCACAGATGAGAACTTTCTGCTTGGCCGCTGGTTGGCATGGGCGGAGCATTGGGCGCACACGGACTCAGACCGCAAGCTCTTGCTCTTCAACGCTCGCAACCAACTGACCTTATGGGGCCCAACAGGTCAGATCCTCGACTATGCTACGAAGTCTTGGGGGGGTTTGGTCAAAGGCTTTTTCCGGCCACGTTGGGAACTCTTTTGCGAAAAGGTCGTTGAGGCAGTTCAAGGCGGAAGATCCTGGACGTCCGCCGATCAAGACGCCTTCAACAGTGAGGTCTTGGCAAAGGTGGAGCTTCCCTGGCAGACTTCCGCGGAGATGTACCCGAGCAAACCGACGCGAGATGCCATCGAAGTCTCCAAGGCTTTGTACCACAAGTACGTAGGCTCCTTTACGGCTGTTGTGTGAGCAAGTGCTTGAGCTTGACAGCGCTTGCAGAGTATCAAAAGACTTCAGCCCTGCTCAGGCGTCAGCAATGTAGCAGACCCTAAACCCAGATCGGGCACGTGGGACTTTCATCCCCTGCAATGCGGGCTCGTCCAAGCTATGTAGGAGGGAAACAATCCTGCGAACCTTGAGCTGTATAAACTCTCAATCCGACGGGACACCCTAAGCCTTGAAGCTGAGACCGTGCAGTCTGAAACCTTTGAGGCATCTCCAACACCTGTCGTCTGAACAGTTCCTTGCTTGTCAGCGCCTATTAAACGATCCGTCCTGTGCATGGGTGCAGGACGTCCAACGAGCTTCGAACGAACCGAACAGCCACACCGGGCATGTGTCAGACAAGCACGAAGCATAGAACAACAAGCCGCCAGTGCTCAGTCGCTTTCTGCGCAATGCAATGCTTCCGCAGGCGTAAAGTGTGCCCCCCAACATCGCCAGAGCCTGCAGCTGGATCGATGGCAGCGCCGGTCTCTCATGCGCCTGAGCCTATGGGACCAAGTTATAGCCTGACTATTGTCGTGGCGCACGGGGTAGTGCAGAGCAACCTAGCTGACACAGCGGAAGCTCAATTCACTGATTCACCTAAGGTGGAAGGGGTAGGTAGTTAAAGAGACCACCTCTCCGGTTCCTAGACCAGGGACCCTCAAGGTGAGGATGCTGTAGAAGCGATCGTCACCAGTGCTGTAAACCATAAACTTGATTCGGGTTCTTGGGATGGCCAGGGTTCTAGGGTAAGGTCCAAAAGTCCTGCTCTACTTCTCAATCGCCCCCTGTTGTAGCTTAGGCCGGTGCCGGAGAGAAAGCTGGAGATCCTTTGGGCCACTAGCGGTGAGCTCCTGGTGACCCTGATGCTGCCAGCAAGCAGTCTCATCAAAGACGTGAAGGCCTGGCCTGTGAACCAGGGATCTAGGATTTCGGATGTATGGGGTAGGGTTTTGGGTTGAGGGTTTGGAGTGGTGCAAAACAGGATGAAGCGATCGAGTGTGCAAGAGAACCAGGAGACTCGCAGGAGACCCATTGTTGCCAACAGAGGATCCGGAAGCGAACGCCAGGTCTGGGGTTTAGGGAACAAAGTCAATCTTCTCGAGCTGACAGCCTGGTGGGAATTCCCTTGTTGCAGGGAAAGATCATCAATCTCTGAGTGTTTGCCAGGTGCAGCTGCAGTCCAAGCTGCCTGGCCTTTCTTTTGCCAGCACAACCTGCTGCAACAATTTGGTTTGCGCATGCGTGTACGTACAAATTCTGTATCGATGCATCCAAATGGATAAGTATGCATGCACACGGTGTTCACAGGCAGATCTACTCATGAACTTTGTATGCGGGTCCAGCCAAAGGCTGGGAATCGATGTCGAAATGCAGAAGCTCGTCACAGAGGAGGCGGTGCTCGAGGACGACCAGCCTCTGGAGCTGGATCAGCTCCGTCTTATCTGTTTGTCGCCAGAGTATGGCCTGGTGGTGGTGGAGGGCACGAGGCCAAGCGGCTTTGAACAGCCCTGTCCTGCAAAAACACAGCTTTGTGTTATTTTCGTTTCGTATTCCTGGGTTCCTTGAAGTACTTGTGCTGCACACATTTCCATGGGCGAGAAAGCTTCTGGAACCCGAGCCCCAGGTCACGCGATCAAAGAGGTCTCGGGAACGAGAACGTGGCCTCAAAGACTAACGGCTTGGCGAAAGCCTTGGGCAGCTCAGGAGAAGTCCGCGAAGAAGGGGACACAACACACTACCACGTTCAATTGGAGGCCAGACCAGCAAAGCTTTTTGCACGGTCATGCCCCATGCTCTGAGGGGCGGGTGCTAGAAAATGTTTGCTGGTAGTCTTACTCTTCGGGCTCTCGTCACTAGGCCAGGTGCCGCAGGTGCCCTTGACTCGACTCTCTCGCTACAAGAGCACTGCCGAGCCCCCAAGACCGTGTTCAAACATCAAAAGCTCTTCTCATTTCAGCTGCGCTCCATCCACGGAGGCCTCGATCGCAGAACTTGTTTGGGAGGCAGACCCTGCAAGAAACAAGACGAGATGAGATATCATTGTAGTGGCTCCATAGCCGGCACATGCGAGAAACTGTTCAAGGGCTCCGACCAACATCTGAGACGATGACATGCATGAGACACCGTTCTTGACTTTGGAGCGGAAGTAATCCCCGAAGACCCGGAAAAGGTTTGGACGACACTCCAGCATGATCGGACAGGTATTTTTCAGCTTCAAGAACCTGTGTTACACCAGCTCTGTTGCGAATGATATTTGTGTCATTCCTTTCGGTTGTCATTGCTGTTGCGTTGTCATTGCTGTTGCTGCCACCATGAGACACCACCGGCACCACCATTGTTTTTCCTTGAGATTATGATCGTTTGCACACCAGCTGGCTGTCGGAGTGTGCCAGAATCCAAGCAGCTGTGAGTTGAAATGCTCTTGTCATCTGCCAAGTTTAGAAGTGCATCTTCTCGAAGCAGTGAAACCGGAAGTCCTGCTTTGGAACTCTTGCGACTTAAATCCGAAGAAGCTAAAAATAACGCCATCAGCCCCAGCAAACTCAAACCCTCGAGGTGGTGGTGCCAGAGACGAAAGAGCAGCCGAAATTTTTCTGGACCGAAATCACCAGCGGCATCGGGACGTGTACTGTATTCAGCTGCTACGTGGAGCCTGGAGCCAAAGCAACTTCGTTTCGCTCTTAGAGATTGGGCTTCGGCTCTTGGGTTTTACAGTGTTAGGACTTGGGGAAATGGGTTGTTCGAGGTTTCGTGGCTCTGTGAGTTTAAGGCCTTGATTATGTCCTTGCTGAGATGGATAGCTATGCAAAGCCCGTGGCTCAAGACCACAGCACAACGGCGCTATAGCAAGTGCTTCTACCTTCGATCAGCCTGAAAACTTTGCATGCGGAACAGGTAGCAGAGACTTCGTACGTAACGGGCACATGATTTTGGTGCATCTGGGAGAGCATTTGCAGTTGCGCGCCGTAGCTCAGGTACTTCTGGCTTTGTGGGACGAAGCTTCGGCACCTGCTCTGCCAGCGGAAAGGGTGTGGGCACCGGTGATATACCCCAGGGGACCCAAGTGCACATCAGGCTTTGCGCACGGCAAAGGCCAGCCGCCCCGCGGGTTCCTTTCTCTGAACTGTTTGAGACAACTACGGCCAGAGGACACGAGAGCCTTCACACCTTACACCTTATTGCAAGGGCACACCATAAGGGTACTGTCGGGGTCCTAGGTACTTGGCACTGTCTCCTTGACGACTCTAGCCTGTTGGGTTCCTGCTTATCCGAGCCAGTGCTTCTAACCAACGTGCAGGACTGCGACTGGCAGAGCGTGACTGCGCCTAAACTCTACCGACTTTATTCTTGACGCTGTCCTCTGCTTGAAAATGAGACGGTTTTGAAAACTATAAAATCAAATAAGGAGAGTCGACATTTGAAGATGAAGATGAATTGAAAGAACAAAAGTTTTGCGAACTATGAATAAATCATATATAAGTGATCAGCATAAATAAAGGAAATGGAAAGAAATAAATTATTCGATATACATTAGGTTTAATTTGAAATAAACAAGAACTCAAATTTTCATCATTCGCGAATGATCACGAAATATTCCGGAGGGATAAGAAAAGGATTATTGAAAAAGAATAAATAGTATATATATATTAATAGAAAGTTGAGAACAAATCGATATAAAAGAGATTTCAATACTCAAAAACTTTCAACAATTTGTTCGAAAGGGATATGAATTTAAAAAAATGAAAAGAACTAGAAATTATGATAATAAATTCTCTAATAAAATGGTGTTATACTGGTCGCCTCTGTTTTTTTGTGCGCGCCCCTGGTCCCTGTAACCTCGTCCTTTGGCGCGTTTTCTTTTGAAAGCCTCCTGCGTATGTCTGCGTAATTAAGTTTCGGAAGTTTTAGTACCGGGAGCACTTCTTGCCCGGTACTAAGAATTTCGAAATTTTGGTAGTTGTAGGAAATCTCGCGGTACTAAAATTTGCGGAATTTCGGTAACTTTAGGGGACAAGCTCCCGGTAATGAGATTTTCCGCAGGCATGTTCGCGAGCATAAAGTTTCCGAAATTTTAGTGCCGGGAGCATGTCCCAAAAAGAATTGAAGTAGAAATACATCCGATTTTAGGGCCGCTCGAAAAGCACACTAGAGGCTTACAAGAAAAGATTCGAATGCCGAAATTTCAGTGCCGCGAGATAGGCACGCAAGATATAAAATATTTTCAATAGGAAACGCGTCATTTGTTTATAATATATTCAGATGATTCGAAATACGAATATCTAAAAAATATCATTGGAAATAAATCGAAAGTGCGGAATTTCATTGAAATTCGGTTATAATTCATGCGAAGATCTAAGAGATTTCTAATATATAATATTGATTATTTTTAGTTCTATTGAAGATAATTAGATATATTGAAATTAAATCGAAATGATTGAAATGAAAAATAGATTATTAATTTATCAAACCAAAAATACAAAATAAATGATTCGTAAGAATATCTAAGAAATATGACTGATATTTAAAAAATATATGGAATATTTAGAAAAAGCAGGCAATATCTCGAATTCAGGCGGAAAAAATAAAATTAAATATTTAAATAATCAAAACAAATAGAATAGAGAAAAATTATGAAATAAATAAGAGATGATATAAGCAAGATCATTATAATGAAATAAATATATGAAAATTTATATTAAAATTTGAAATTTATTTTTAATTTGTTTTCAAAAATCTAAGCATGAAAAAT